AGAACCAAAATGATTCATGGGACATTCGTTCCGAATTATGTAATTTTGGAACGGTAATCACGAAAGTGGAGACGGAGGGCGCTTGCCAGTTAGTCAAAATTTCCGGAAATTTCGGTTTGGCGGTAAATGGGAAACGTTTCGTCGGTTCGTCCCAGTGGAAAATTCCTGGAAAAAAACGAAAATCTAAAAAGGTAGGCCCGTTTTCCCGGTTGGAACGTTCCGAACGGAAATTCGCGTTCCATTTACACGTTTCTCGTAGTTTACACCAGTTCCAGGTCCAAGGCAAAAAAAACCAAAAAAAACCGTCACGGCCAGTTCGCAAAACAAAATGGCTTCCCTCGAGCCTTCACTCAGGTACCAGTGCACAGGTTTTTTTTTGGCTGCCCCCTCCGAATGACCTGAGGCACACTGGAAAAACTGTGCAGAGATATAGCAGCTACAGGAAGTATTCCGCAAGACAACCGCTTTGGAAGACCACCAATTCCTGCAGGGTGATTCCTGTCCGGTGCCAGGTTTTGGCACTTGTTTGGTTCACGGCTAATTCAGAAGTGATGAGATCCGTTTCGGGTCGATTTAACGTAACGCTGAGTAGTTTGTTCAGGATTATTCAACGAGTTAAAAGTTGATGAAGCTGCGACTACATTAATGTCTTCCTCCTCATCAAAACCAACTAAAATTTCAACCTCTTCATCTACCAACTCGTCTAAAATTATATACCAAGTCGGCAGCCATCTTGGTGTCCCGTCGGGTAACGGACACCACGCCAGGGCGGGCCGGGGCGGGCCGGGGCTTACGACCAAATGGAACAACTTTTTACCAATCGGAGAATTCACTTTTGCTCCTGCCGAAATTTCCGGAGGCTTTTTCTAAACGGAAAGCGCCCGGAGTTGAAGAAGAGGGGGTGTCACTCCAATTCTCAGAATAGCTCAGTTAGCCACTCAAAGATTAGACCTCGGGCGCTTTTTAAGCCTCAACAGGAAAGGCTAATGGGTCCTAGTCATGGGCTTCTGGTAAAGACAGGATCATCATCAACACCAGAACCATCACTTTTATGCTATGTTCACTCTAATACCGGATAGCTTTTCTTGCCGATACCAAAACGCTATCCAGAGTAGTGTGAACACCGATGCGATAGTGTGACTCGCCACTTAAGAGACAAGCGCGGAGCATGCAGCTTCGCTCCGTTACAGAAATCGCGCCGAAATCACTGTTCTAATGTGTGAACAGAAGTGCTATCCGGTACGGTTTTCTTGCCGACCCAAAAGCTATCCTGCATAGCCGTGTCAAAATAGCCTAATTCTCGCAGAGAAGCGCTGACTATCCTATCCCCTGATTAGATAATACTGAACTCATTTATTGATAATGAAGTACTCAATCACTACACTCTTAGACCGACCTCGAACTATGTTTTATAGAAACCTGCGATCACCATAAATTGAGGCCCAATAAAACCAAAGAATAAAAGTAAACCGAGATCATACAGAGTCCTTTTATAAGAGAGGCAAAGCCAAAAAGACCTGTGAACGTGGGATGCTCTTGTGGAAGAAGTAACTCTTTCTTTGCTAATAATACTGAAACGATCGAGTATTTATCCTCTTGATAGAAATTTTATGCTGAATTTTAAGCCTGGTGAATACATGGGGAAGATGTTTTTTTTAAGTCAGTGACACAGGCGACTGGAAAGAAAAAAACTCCGCCTCAAAATAAATACCATCAGGTTTCTATCTTGCGAATAAGCACGTATCGCAATTCCCGTCATAGCAGTATGTTGGATGAACGCAGTTTAGTAACCTTAGCTCCCACGAGTCACATGCAGCTTAGTGGTAGAGCATCTCGACAAGAAACCAGAAGGTTTATATTCCGACTCCTGTTTTGAGTACTCATATTCTGTTGTGTGAGCCGACTGTCACTGAGTGAAAAGAACAGTTTCTCATTTATCGTCTTTTGGTCAAGAAGAAATGAAATGAGAATATGAATGACAGAAAAGGGTGAGCAAAAATGAGAGATAGAAAAAAAGCTCACATTAAACGTTAATAATAACAAAAATATTTCTTAATAATAATAATTATTAACTTGGTACGTCCATTTCCGAGCCACCCTTGACCACTGGAAGCTAGGGAAAGCACACAGTCTGATGCGATACAACTTTCATTCTTATGCAAATAAACTCATTGAAACATGAAAGGCTTTGCATTTCGCCTAGCTTTGTGGAAAAGACCTTTTGTACGTTATAACACTTGGATACGGCTTGAGTGTATAAAGTAATGTATATCACTTAACATCAATTGCCGTGGTGTGGAGGAAACTGCAATCACCATGCAAATGACACGATACAAAAGATTGAAAAGACACTAACACAATTGTCAGTGAAAACACTTAGGTACGACTTAAGTTTATGAAGTAATGCACAGCACTTAACATCACTTTTCGGGGTGTGGAGGATGCAGAACTCAACAAATGACACAATACCAAATTGAAAAACACAAAATACCAAATCGAAAAACATAAAATCACCAACAACATTGTAAGTTAAAAACACTTGGGTACGTCTTGAGTTTATGAAGTAATGTACATCACCTAACATTAATTGTTGGGATACGGAGAAACCTCCGATCACCAAATAACACAACGCAAAAGATTGAAAAGACGCTAGCAATTGTTATGTTCTCGGAAAAACAGCTCGAAATCAGACAACTGCACCCAAGATGGCGGATCAACTCAAGAACTGTACTTTGAAGCTGCTGAAGCCTTGTTTACAATGAAGAATTGAAAGATGTATTCGAGGAAAATCAGCATGGTTTTTCATTGATTTGATTGGTTATCATGGGTTATGTAGTTAAATTTTATTGGCTAGTAAAATTTGCTACTTGAATTTCATTGATTGCATGTTTAACTGTCCGATTCGACCTGTCCGATTACAAGCTCTTGGTAAGTTTCTTTTGCCAATTCGTCTTTATAACTTTAAGAATTTCTTGTTTACTAGCCAAATTTAAAAAGGGAGAGTGCAAAGTCTGACACAAAAAGTTCTATTTTTTCCATTTTCATGCAAATAAACTCATATACACACAAAAGGTTTTGCATTTGGCCTTGTTTTTGCATCGGAAAACCCCCCTCTTTTGTACGTCAAAACACTTGGCTACCTCTTGAGTTTATCAAGTATTGTACATTACTTAAAATTTATTTGGTGTTGGGGGGAACGCTCGATCACCAAAAGACAATACAATCTGAAAGGATACTTAACAACAATGAAAAAAAAAGCAACAACAGCAGCTGAGTTGCTGAGTGACCCTTATGGAGAAGAAAATAACATAAAGAAAAAGAAAAGAAAAATATATAAAAACATCTTTCATTTTCCATTTATGCAAGTACGCATCAGTTTGCTGTTTTCTTTAATTTTAAAAGTTAAGACATTCTCTACACACTTATAACAGAGAACTGCCACATATAAACTTCTCTGCTATTTTTTCCATTTTCATGCAAATAAACTCATAGACACACAAAAGGTTTTGCATTTGGCCTTGTTTTTGCATCGGAAAACCCCCCTCTTTTGTACGTCAAAACACTTGGCTACCTCTTGAGTTTATCAAGTATTGTACATTACTTAAAATTTATTTGGTGTTGGGGGGAACGCTCGATCACCAAAAGACAATACAATCTGAAAGGATACTTAACAACAATGAAAAAAAAAGCAACAACAGCAGCTGAGTTGCTGAGTGACCCTTATGGAGAAGAAAATAACATAAAGAAAAAGACAAGAAAAATATATAAAAATATCTTTCGTTTTCCATTTATGCAAGTACGCATCAGTTTGCTGTTTTCTTTAAGTTTAAAAGTTAAGACATTCTCTACACACTTATAACAGAGAACTGCCACATATAAACTTATTTGCTATCGAAAAAACAAGTACCAAGACTTTTATCCATACAGGGTACGAAAACCAGAATTACATAAAGTAATTTCAATGCGCGCCCCCAGTTTTATAGGTCTTGAAAGTGAGGAAATCATTCGTACATTTTGACCGAAAGGTAAGAATTCAACTGATGATTGTTTTTTTTTTGCTCTTGTTTTATTTTGGGTTGCTTTTCTTTTTTTTAAAATGACGTCTTGACAGCCTATGCGGTAGTCACCTTGAGCAATACGATAATAGTCACCTTCAGCCTTAACTTAATCACTTAAGGAGTAAGATAAATTTTGCGAATTATGTACAAGTCAGTATATTAGTTAGATGTCTTTGAGTTTGGAGAAAACTATCTTTAAGGTGTTTGAATATAGTTTTTCGGAGACCCATATCTTTCATTACGCTACTCTCCGTTTTATTAGGAAATTTCAGTAGGCGGGATTTCGTAATGTTCAATTGCCTCATGAGGGATTTTATCCTTGGCCGATGGCCAAAACATTTTCACCACTTACTGAACTTGGATTTAAGTTTGTCGAAATGTAGTTTCATGTAAAATTTATATTACCATGACAAAAATAAACGAAAACAATTGAAATCAGTAAATGAAGATTTTTGCGACATCTGGACCTGCCGTTAAAAATCCTTTTAACAGACAGAATATGACTTACTTTAGCTGTATAAACATGCTAGTTTCGTCAGGCTGTTAGATTATAAATATCTACAACCACTGACATGCTAACTCTCAGCAAAAAACAGCCAACAGTTTGCGACGCCACCACTGGTTTCCCACCAATAAGTCTGAGGAACGAGAACAAAAGTTCCATACTCATGACGTGCAACAGTCTACCCGGATCTAATTAACAGTTCTGATTGGTCGTGCCGCAAGAAATATTTGGTTGAATCAATTAGAAGAACTGCCAAGATCCGGGTAGTTGCTATCGTCAGTATGACATTTCCGCGCTTGTTTCTCAGACGTCATTTCAAGGGGAAAACAGTGACGGCGTCGCAATATGCTGGCTATTTTACTTACAGTAACATTTCTCATGTCAACTGTTCATTAGACAAAATAACGTTACAGACTCTCCACTGATCAAAGTAAACAATGGAAGGCGGACTTACCAAATCCCAGATTACCAACTGCATTCTTTCCATCTTTGGAATCCTTGGAAACACGCTGACCATTCTAGTGTTTGTCCTTGACAGACAGCTGCTGAAAACCTCCTACAACGTTTTCATTCTTTGCCTTGCCATAGCAGATGTGCTTACCTCCATTCTCCTGCTCACAAGTCCCGGCTTTGGCCTTGGTGACCTTTATCCTCGTCCAACCAATATAGTTCTGGGAGAAATCTTCTGCCGAGTTCTCTGGAGCCGAGTTTTTCTCTTTCAGCTCGTGTTTTTCTCCGTTTACATCACATTGCTGTTAGCAATAGAGCGGTGGGTTGCCGTTGTAAAGCCTTCTAAATATCACATGGCCTTCAGGGGAAAGAGACTTGCTGGATACATCGTGATCTGTTGGATCTGGTCATTCATTCTAAATGGGATGGTGTTATTTGATGCTAACTTTGAACCAAATAATTCACCATCCAATGACATCTGCGTATTGAGATTTGTTTTTTCAGGCTCTTTCTCCCGCACATTCCAACTTATATTCAATATTTTCTTCAGGATGTTCCTTCCTTGCCTTTCCATGATTGGACTGTACGTACATATGATCGTGACGACAAACAACTCCCCAGTTGCGTCAGCGGCGAGCAAGGCCAAACTACGAGGAAAGATGACAAAAATGGTCGGTATAATGGCTTGTAATTTACTCATAACTTTCCTTCCTAACCAAGTTTTTTATTTCTTTGTGGTTACGGGAAAAGCACAAATAGAAACTCCACTCCACCATTTCACAGCGTTTCTCCTCTTCTCCACGATTTGCTCTAATCCATTTATTTATGGAATAAGCAACGCTAATTACCGCAGGCGCTACAAGAAGCTTTTGTTACCTGAATGTATCAAACGGTTCTCGGAAGACAACGGTGTTGTTGCCCTGAAACCTCGGAGAGTTGCCAGAGTTGGACCTGCCAGACCAGAATCACCTGCAATGAAAGTAGACGATATTAATGACAGTTGAGCTTAATTGCTTTTTATTTAAATAATTTGTATTTTCCAAGCTATTGACTAGAATAGAAAAGAAAAGCGAAAGCAGACACTATACTTCACCATCACACATGAAATGATCATGCTTATTGTGTGTATACTGAGCTAGAGTTTAGGGGGAAAGTTTGCACATGGGAAGTTTAGAGTGCGCAAGAGTTGCCCAAAAGTTGCTCTAGCCGCAGCAGAGAGAGCTTGTCTCCAGCTAATTAGTTCTCTCTAAGCTTTGAAAGTTGATTATAACTCGATACACAAACAACTTAAAGCATGAACTCATTATTTTATAACATGACTACTGGCCCTTGTAATGAACGACTAGTAACTGGCTGGTAACAAACAGGAATGCACCCGCCGTTTTTTTAACCTTTTGGCTCAGAAATAAGCAGATACAGCCAGCATTGGATCTATTTTTTCCCTAGCGGCAAGTAGTATTTTGCTTTTAATCTCCGAGACTTCTTTTCCATGAGAGAGGACGCTACACCAGTTTTCATGGAATCATCATGGACATAGCAAAGGTTCCCCAATACGTTTTTCGGGATACGGGATTTGCCTTTAAAAAATGAAGGTGAGATTCGGGATTGAAAGTATGCACGGAATGCCGGAAATAACCATGGGGATTACTGCTACTGCTTGTGCTGCTCCTACTGTTGCTATTACTACTGCGACTACTTCCACTTCCACTACCACTACTGCTTCTACTATAACACTACCACTACCATCTACCACTAGAATTAGCACTAGCACTACTACTACCGGCGGCTGGTATATCGGAGGATAATGCCCGCGGGTGAGAGATTGTCCGAAAAATAAACATTTGCCCGAGAAGCCAAGCTTCGAGGGTAAATGCGAAATTTGGAGGACAATCTCTCAGCCAAGGGCATTATCCTCCGATATTCCAGCAAGCCAGAAAGAAGTTTATTTATTTTATAATTTTCTGATTAATGTTTTCATCTCTAACATGTTGGGAGAGAAAGAAAAACAAAAAGGTGAGCGCGCGTGCGAATGACGCAAACAAGCACATTGATTGGTATATTTTCTTTATTGAAACTGTGATTGGACCAGGGCTTGAAAGGCTGTCATGTCAAATGAACTCTCGCATCGCTCCATAGATCAAAACTCGAAAAACCAGCGCTTTTAGTTTATAGTTTACCGACAGCACTGTCTGAAAACTACTCAAACAACCGTTTCTAATGGATAAGTAACGAGAATTCAACCATTCCACTAACTGCCATTGCAAGGGCTAGAAAAGTAATTACAAGTATGAGACACAGCAACTGAAAAATCTGGAGCAGTTGAGGGATTTAAGTTTGACATTATTGGGCTCTTGGCAAAACCTGGATTTATTGCTGTGGATGGTGGAAGCTGAGGAAATCATAGAAAGAAAAGGTAGAAGAAATAATGAGGCCCATCTGTAAGAACAGGTTCACCTGACCGGGATTTACTTAAGTTAAACTTATAAATCGCCGGATAATCGAAGATGAACCCAACCTTATTTGGTTGCGCACTTGGCCCTTGCTCTGACTCAATAGCCCATGAGGCCGAAGGCCTCGAGGAATAATTGTTAAATATACACCATCTATACAACCTATATCCACCGTATATACACACTGTAGAACCTATATAAACCTATATACACCTTATATATTCAGCTATATACACCTTATATGTAACCTTTATACACCTATATACACTTTATTTACAACCTAAATACACCTTATATACTACCTATATTCACCAATATACACCTTATATGTAACCTATATTCACCTATATACACCTTATATACACGTATATACAATTATATACACCTACATACACGTTGCATAGAACCTATATACATCTATATACACCTTATCTACAACCTATATTCACCTTTAGTATATACCCACCCAGTGATCTTGGTGATTCAAGCAATCTGATTGGCTCGCCATCTCGGACTATGACGTTATATTCACCGCGCTAGGCGGTGAACATAAAGCAAAACAAAATCGCTGTCGTGAACTGGGTGTTTTGCAGGTTTCAGAGTAAGAGCTTTTTTGAAATACAAGAATATACCAGAGTTGATGATTTTGAAGGTAAGAGAAGACTTCATGGTGTGTAAGCAGCGTGATTTTATTGCGAAGTGATTTACTGTAGTTGACTTTCATACGCTCGAAGCAATGTTTTTATTGGCACTACAGACGAAAAGGAGGCCGCTTTGTCACTGTTTTATGAACTCAGGATTTCCTCGCAAGACCAATTTTGCCTGGAAATAGAAGTTAATTTACGGAGAAAAAAAAGGAAAGCAAATATTTTCGAACACTGTACGTGCCAGCAAGTCAACATGGCAAGGAACAATGCACTGCAGATAAACAACGCTCACCTCGATCGTAGCCGCTGTTGACAGCATTTGCAAGAAGCGACAAAAAACTATCTCATTCACGGTGAGTTGACAGAAGCAAATAAAGATCTGTGTTTCTTCTTAGAAAGGGGAGTTATTTAAACTTTCAACGTTTCCTTTTCAATCATTGGCGCTAAAGTTTACAAAACAATTAAAACCATGATTTGCCATGTTTAAAAATACTGTTGTTATGCATCTGCTGTTTACGCTACATGTTCACGCATGAATTCACCCGTGAATCAAACTAATCGTTTTTTTCATGGTTTCCTTTCTGATTCTGTTGAGATCACTTCGTGGGCATATACTAAAACAATTATTCACCTCAGGCTCAGTTAATATTGTTGAATAATGCCCTCGACTTCGTCTCGGGGATTATTCAACAATATTATCTTCGCCTTCGGCGAATAATTGTTAAATATACACGTTATATACAACCTATATTCACCTATATGCACCTTATTTACAACCTTATATACAACCTATATACACCAATACACACCTTACATTGATTATATTATATATACACCTATATACAGCTTATACACAACTTATATAAAGCAATATACAACCTATATACACCCATATACACCTTATATAGAACCTATAAACGCCTTATATGTGAACAGCATTCACATTACCAGAATACTAGAGAGACTTCCTTGACCATGTAAATAATATGTATGCAGAAATCGGGGAGCAATGATAGGGAAAAATTTTAAATTAAACAACTAAGCCTGAAAAAGAGGGTGAGGGACTGATTTTTATCCTGTAAATAAAAGGGTCTGTGCGACCCTGTAAATATTTATCTGATTTATGTTAACAGTAGATGGTTTCTTAATACTTGTGAATGTAGTGACCATGTATACAAAGTATTACAAGTAAAGACTTGAAAAAACACCTGTTTGATAGGATGTGGATGACTGTTGTAAACTCTGCTGCTGCATTATGTAAGTTCATCTTATTTAACGAAAACAATGAATAGAAAGAATCAGTACTATGAACGGAATCAATACCAGTATTGTAATCTTCATTCACCTGCTAATCTAAGATCAATGGAAGTAAGTCAATAATGTCGTAGTTTCCTTTGAGGTAGGAAACTGATACTCAAATACATCTTTCATCCACAAGTGGGACACAGCAGTCTTGAATTAGAATCAATTGTCTCATTTGAAAGTTCATAAAATAATACGAAATAACATTTTGAAAGGTTTGAACCCAGGAGTCATTTCATAAGTAGGTTGAGTATGATTGTCTGGGTGAACGTAGTCCTGAATAAGGACTGTTGTTGTTGACAGTGACTGACGTTTCGACAGCCTGTGCGGTAGTCACCTTCAGAGTCAAAGAAGATAACCACTGCACAGGTTGTCGAAACATCAGTCACTGTCAACAACAACAGTCCTATTCAGGACTACATTCACCCGGACGATCATACTCAACCTACTTACGAAATAACATCATTTATCATTGTTTTCTGATACTTATCTATCGATAGTGAATTATCTATTAGATAACAGTACCCAACGTTTGAAGAACCGGCTTAGATGGTGCTGGAAACCATTGAAAACTATACGTAAAATCTTGGACATTTTTGAGATAGAGCAATGTCTTTCTAGACATTCTCAAAAAAGTCTATTTGAAAGAATCTTTTTTTGTCATGTGGTTCGATAAGCTCTGTATTTTGTGCGTCTCAGTCGTTTGCTTCAGATCGCATGTACGTATGACTAGCCATATTTATGCTGCCAAGGAAATAAGGGGCTCAGTAATATGATTTATTATCCTCAGGGCTCCTGCTCCTGTTATTGATATTGCTGTTTTAGGTAAATTCTGTGCTGAAGTCTTTTCTTAGTGTCTTTACCCATGCAGAAAAGAAGATATCAAACAATTTCATCTGGGAGCATAAAACTCATCGCAGTACTCGCATTTATGAGGCTTATCTCTCCCGCGTAGTTTCGTTCGTGTCCCTTTCTAGCGAAAGGATCACTAAAGCCCCTTCCGCAATGGTTGTATTCAAAAGTTTAATTCCTGTGTGTTTTCTTTCATGCTTCATCCAGTCGGAAGCGCTCATCGGTATTGCAAAGTTCCCACGGATAAGGGATTTCTGTCGTGTGAACTCGCTGGTGTATCTTTTAATTTTTTAGAGGAACAAAATACTTATAACAATGCTTGCACTTATGAGGTTTGTCTTTCGTGTTAGCACAAGTAAGCTTTGTAAAGTTCGTGTTTCTTTCATTGAGCAATTTATGAAGTAATGTACATATTTTAACATTAATCGCCGGGGTGCAAAGAACAATTGACACATCACCAGAAATTGAAATGATATTATCAATATTGTAAGTTAAAACTCTTGGGTAAGGGTTGAGTTCATGAAGCAATGTATATTACTTAACATTAATCGTCGGAGTGGGGAGACCAAATTACACAATAAAAAAGAAACTTCACTTTACTTTGACACTAGACGAGAGCAGTATTACTGGCCCACAATAGGCCAATTTTACGATTACGACAATTGACTACAACTAGCAGAATTCATTTCGATTTTGCTTTCTTATTTTAATTTGTCAATCCCGCTGAGGTTTAAAAAACAATTTCCTCAGTCTGCACAAGAAAACAACAAACTGAAGCATTCTGATAGTTAAAGTAAAATGACGTCATCGTGCCATTGTCCTATTGGTCGTCACCCTCTATCTCGGATTATATTAATTAAACCTTTATCATATTCTTAACATAAAGCTCAGCTATCTGTATCAAGCCCCTGATGACCGCTTAATAGATATGAAAGTAATAGGAGAACATTCGTTGAGATGGCCAAAAGCGCAGGTGACCGCGGTCGCTTAGAAATATAGGTTTATTTTATCATTCTATTAGTTACCGCACTCTTAATAGGTGGCCCCTTAATGGAGATTCAACTATAACAATAATGAAAAAAAAAATTAAAATAAAATAAATAAACACAAAGCAGCAAAGCTTTACTTTTACGTCAGCCTGGGTTTAAAAAGTAATACATCACTTAACACACATTGCCGAGGTGAAATTGCAATCACCCTAATGACACAATACAAAAGATTGAAAAGACACCTCCAACAATTTAAAAAAAAAAATGCCTTAAAAGGCAGAGAATATTTAAGAAAAGAGCGGGCGGAGATTTTCAAGGTCTTGGAAGTCAAGAAATCAAATTTCGATTTAAAGGTAAGAATTCAACTGACGATTCAGTTTTTTGGTTTGTTTTGAGTTGTTTGGCTATGTTTTAAACGCTGTTTTCTGAATCGAATTTCTCAGCAAATTAAGAGGATATTTAATATGCTTTTAAAACTAAAGGTGTATTTGCTTGATTGACTTCAAATTTGAAGGGAAATTAGTTTCAACACTAAAAATATAACAGGTTTCTTTCAAACAAGTTAAAAAGCATTTCCCCTCTACATTCTGTTAACTAGAAGTAGCGCATTGTGTCTGGCTCTAATTCAGCTGTACATTTATTTTGCCATCGGTTGTTTCAACCAGTTCATATATATGGGAAAGGTATATATGGCTCATCGTATCTTTTATCAAAACTCGAAATAACCCTCCTGATTCACATTGTTCAACTACAGTATTGTCGTAAGAAATAAGAGCGAAATTCGACAAAATTGAAAATCGCCAAGAAATTTCGTTGAGCCACACTCGATCTTTTATTGAATCAAACGAAATTTCGCTGCCATCTTGGCTAAATTTCGCATCCACTGAAGCGAGACTTCGTTTTTCCGAAATTACGCCTTAGCAAAAATTCGCCCCGGCGAATTAATTTTATCAAAGCGAAAATCCGCATTGATTAAATTTCAGTGGCATTAAAAGCGAAGACAGACGGAATGTAAAGAGAAACTTTGTTGGGACTGTTATTTTTACTGTTATTTTCGCTGTAATTACAAGGATCGCTCAAAAGAAAGTCAATCGAAGCTGGCCGCAGAGTTCGTTGCGACAAATTTCGCTGAGGCAGACGTTCGCTGCCATTGCGAAAATCGCTTTTTTAAAAAATTCAGTTATCCTCTCCTCCATAGGCTAAAGGATCTAGTTAATTAATATCGTTTTGTTGAACTCTTTTTCATAACTTAAAGCATTTAAGGGAGAGCGCAAAGTGTGACTCGAAAACGTATTTTTTGGACAGAATCTCTACCATAATCATGCTTGATTTCATGCTCCTACCCTCTCCTTTTATCACGATAAAATTAACTTTTTGATTCAATTTTACAATATAATTTTGTTTGTGACGAAAAAAATCAACGATAAAAATGTAACATGAAGTACTCAAGGACTTCATGCTTCGTCACTTATCGTTGATACTTCTTTTAAAACGTACACGAAGTATTTTACCTGCTGTTTTAAATGTAAGTTTCGTCATCGTGTTGCAACATGCTGACTAACTCTTAGCAAAAAACAGCCAACATTTCGCGGCGCAGCCATTGGTTTTCCAGCACAGGTTTCCCTGTGTAACAAGCGCAGAAATTCCATACTGAAGACGTGTCACTGTGCAGATCTACTAGTACTTCTGCCATTGGTGGTGTTGCAAGGGAAATTTGCTTCAACCAATCAGAAGCACTACCCAGATCATGGTAGTAACACGTCATCACTATGGAATTTCTGCGATCGTTTCTCAGACGTCATTTCGAGAGGAAACCATTGATGGGGACTCGAAACGTTGGCTTTTTTCTCAGGCTAACAAAACCTAAAATCACTACAAAGACATTTCTTATATCAACTGTTCACTAGACACAATAACGTCATCTGCACTCCAAAGATCAAAGCAGAAAATGGAAGGCGGACTTACCAAATCCCAGATTACCAACTGCATTCTTTCCATCTTTGGAATCTTTGGAAACACGCTGACTATTCTATTGTTTGCCGGTGACAAAAAGCTGTTGAAAAAGTTCCACAACGTTTTTATTCTTTGTCAATTTCCGAGCCACCTTTAACCTTGGGAAACTAAGGAAAGCACACGGTCCGATGTGATAAAACTATTATTCTCCTGCAAATAAACTCAATGAAACATTTGAGACTTCGCACTTGGCCTAGCTTTGGTAACGGAAAAGATCTTTTGTACCGGTAAAACACTTGGGGGCGGTTTGAGTGTATGAAGTAATGTACATCACATAACATTAATTGACAGGGGTGTAGAGGATGCCGCCGGACCAAATGACACAACACAAACAGTTGAAATGACACTAACATATTGTAAGTTGAAACACTTGGGTACTGCTTAGGTTTATCAAGTAATGTACATCATTTAACAGTGTGAAGGATGCAGAGCTCAACAAATGACACAATACCAAATATTGAAATTGTAAGTTAAAACACTTGGGTACGGCTTAAGCTGACGAAGTAATGTACATCACTTAACGTTATTTGCCGTGGTGCGAAGGAAAGTGCACTTACCAAATTAGAGAATACAAAAGATTGAAAAGACACTAACAATGAAATAAATAACAAATAAATAAATAAACAAGAGCCGGCAAACGTTTCCTTTTCGTCTGGAATTTATGAAGTAACGTACATCCCTTGTAAATAGAATAGGAAAGAGCCGGCAGAGGATAGCAAGCAAACACTGCTTTTAAAGGTCTTGGAAGTGAGGAAGTTATTCGTGCGTTTTGACCTAAAGGTAACTCAACTGATTATTCAGTTTGTTTGTTTTCTTAACGCTGTTTTCTGAATCGCATTTCTCCCGCAACGGAGATATCTAAAAAGCTTTTAAAACTAAACATGTTTTTGCTCGATTGTCTAGCCCTGATCTTCAAAGTTGAGGGGAAGTTAGTTTAAAGACTAAAAAATAAAAAAGTGACAGGGTTTTTTCCAAAAAAAAAAACAAAAAAAAAGTTAAAAAGCATTTCCCCAATGACTTCTCTGAAACTGGAAGTAGCACATTGTGCAGTCTACCTCTAATTCTGCTATAAGCTGATTTTGTTGCCGAAAATAGTTTCGCCTTGGGGAAAATTCGCACTAGCGGAATTTTAGCAACACGAAATTTTGCTGGCAATAGAAGCGACGGACGGAATGTAAAGAGAACCTTTGTTGGGATCGTTACGTTCGCTGTGATCGCTTAAAAGAAAAGTTAATGGTAGCTCGTCAAAGAGGTCGTTGTGACAAAACTCGCTGAGGCAGAATTCTGTTCGCTTCCATTGCGAAGGTAATTTTAAAAATACTTAAGTTATTCTCGTGTCCATACCCTAAAGGATTAGTCTTAATAATGAATTCACTAGTTTTCACAGTAAGGCCAGTTGATTCCGCTATATGAATTCACTAGTTTTCAAAGCAAGGCCAGTTGATTCCGCTATCTGATTTATCGTTTAGTGATGCCGGGTGTTTTGTTTTTAACTATTTTAACTATTCTCGTCTCCATAACCTACTGGATATTAAGCCCCAATAAAGAAATAGTCTTGTTTTCACTCCAAGGCTAGTTTAATATAATGCCGATGTCTACTGATTGACTCCGCTAACTAGTTAAGTGATTTTACGGTCATTGCACTTGACTTGCGTCGTGAAAAATAGAGGCACCGAAAGTTCGCCGCTTTTTCGCCCAAAACGAAAGGTCGCAATTTGCTCGCCCATATTAAATTTCGGCGAAGTTCGTTCTAATTTCTTTTGCACAATACTGTAAGTCACCCAATTATCGGCAAGTCCAAAGGATGTATTGCATTAGAAACCATTATTGTAAAAGATATTAAACACAAACAACAATTGGCAACATTTGTTCGAAAGGTCTTTGACAAATATCAAGGAGAGAAATTACCATTCAAGAAAAAAAAGATAACTATAATAATAATAATAATAATAATAATAATAATAATAATAATAATAATGATAATAATAATAAACAATAATTCATGATATCATTTTGATCGAACCTTTTGCATAACTTTAAGAATTTCTTATGTACTACTCCAACTTTTAAGGGGCGAGTCCAAGTCTGTTACTAAAGTTATATGTTTTTTTCTATTTTTATGCAAATAAAGTCATTGACTCACGAAAGGCTTTACATTTAGGCTAGTTTTTGCATCAAAACACTTGGCTATCTCTTAAGTTTATCAAAGGCTGTGCGATCACCACATGACAAGACAAGCTGTAAGGACACTGAATAACAAAACAACAACAACGACAACAACAGCAAAGTAACCCTTATGGAGAAGAAAATAAGATAAAGAAAAAAAAAAGAAAGAAAATTATAGAGTTTGCTGCTTTGTTTGACTTTAATGGTTAAAGAATTCTCTACACAAAAGAGGACGTAAAAATTGTGTCCTCGATTAGTACTTTGATGCTGAATATATTGACACTCTTATAAAAAGTGCAAATGGATTACACAACGATCACCAAATGTGCCAATTTAAAATTTTATATATTTTTGCGTCTAAAAACAGCGAGTAGTCTATCAGTTTACTTGAGCAGCGTTTTACATAGAGACAAAACTGATAATGCACACTCACAATTTTCCACCAATTGTGATAAATGGCAAGGAACTATCAGTATCAAACAGTGTAAAAATCCTAGGAGTCACTATTAGCTCAGATTTAAAATGGAACGAACACATCTCAGAGTGCATTAAGAAAGCGAACAAGCGCCTTTATTTTATTGTTCTTCTAAAGCGCGCCAACGTTCCACTGAGCGACATTGTAAATTTTTACTGCACCGTGATAAGACCTGTTTTAGAGTACTGTGCGCCAGTTTTCCACCATGCGCTTCCACAGTATCTTAGTGACGACATCGAACGAGTGCAAAAGAAAGCGCTATCCATCATTTGTCCTTATGCGTCGTATTCAGAATGTTTGGTCAGGTTCGATTTAGTAACCTTGCACGCTAGACGCGTGGCTCTGTGTAGCAAGCTTTTCGAGTCTATCACGTCATGCCCGGATCACAAACTCGTGCCTATCTTACCTCCTAAGAGAGAACACAGACATAATCTAAGACAGTCCAGGGCTTATGCCATGCCCCGTACACATACAAATCGTTTTAAGAACACTTTTATTCCAAGTATGTGTACATAAATTTTTAGACTAGTTTGTACATAGTTATATATAGAGAGTTTTTCGCATTTTTATAGAAATGGTTTTTGTTATAATTTCAATTAGTATTTATTTTTTTGGAATTTATTTATTCTTAGTTTTAAGTAATTGTAACGCAATTCAGTCTACGGACTGCCATGTTCGATATTTTAATAAACTATCTATCTATCTATCTATCTATCTATCTATCTAATTGACAAAAAATAGACAGTAAAATAACTACCTAAGAAAAACTAACAATCTGACAAACTGAGTTTTTCAACTTGCTAAGTCGTGAAATTCAACGAAACAGTGCAAGTATCAGTTTGTTTGGCAAAAGACTTAAAAAATTCCTTCTTTCTTAGTCAAATATACTCTTTGTTGAGCTACATACATTTTCTTTTTCGTTTCTTTTCTTTACTTTTAAAAATAACCCATTTTTCATTCAGTAACCTTAACTCACATGGTGTAACCTATAGTTCCAGAAAGCCTATACTGTATAAGCCCCCAGCTTCTATGTAGGCTTCCTCGTCATTGCCACTTTAAACATTTAATTTTGTAAATAATCTAGCTAGAATAGTGTATATTATCTTAAATGTATTATAAATTTCTTGTATATTGTTGTTGTATCATATGTGGTTAATGACAAGTGAATGAATGAATGAATGAATGACCCACAGTAACATTTCTTCTATGAACTATTCACCAGACACAATAACTTAACCTCACCTACTCTCCCCTGATAAAAGAAGACAATGGAAGGTGGACTTACCAAATTCCAGATGACCAACTGCATTCTTTCCATCTTTGGAATCTTTGGAAACACGCTGACCATTATGGTGTTTGTCCGTGACAAAAAGCTGTTGAAAAAGTCCCACAATGTTTTCATTCTTTGCCTTGCCATAGCAGATGTGCTGACCTCCATCCTCGTGCTCACAAGCCGGGGCTTTGGCCTTGGTGACCTCTATCCTCGTCCAACTAACATAGTTCTAGGTGAGATCTTCTGCCGTTTTTTCTGGAGCCGTGTTTTTATCTTTCAGCTCGTGTTTTTCTCCGTTTACATCACATTGCTGTTAGCAATAGAGCGGTGGGTTGCTGTTGTAAAGCCTTCTAAATATCAAATGGCCTTCAAGGGAAAGAGACTTACTGGATACATCGTGTTCTGTTGGATCTGGTCATTTATTCTCAATTGGACGGGGATAGCTGATGCCAACTTTGAACCAAATAATTCACCCTCCAAAGACGTCTGCGTATTCAGATTCGTTTTGTCAGGCTCTTTCTCCCGCAAATTCCAACTTGTATTCAATATCTTCTTCAAGATGTTCCTTCCTTGCCTTTCCATGATTGGATTGTACGTCCACATGATCGTGACGACGAATAACTCCCCAGTTGCGTCTGCGGAGAGCAAGGCCAAACTACGAGGAAAGATGACAAAAATGGTCGGTATTATGGCCTGTAATTTACTCATAACTTTCTCCCCAAATCAATTTTTTTATACCCTTGCAGTTGTGGGAAAAGCACAACTAGATACTCCACTCCACCATTTCACAGCTTTTCTCCTCTTCACTACCATCTGCGTTAATCCACTTATTTATGGAATAAGCAACGCCAATTATCGCCAGCGCTACAAGAAGCTTTTGTTTCGCGCATGTTTCAAACGGTTCTCGGAGGACGCCAATATCCCTCTGAGGTTTGTGAGAGTTGGACCTGCAAGATCAGAACCACCTGCCACGAATGTAGAGAATATTACTGACAGTCAAACTTAATTGCTGCATGGTTATTTAAAAGAATGTGTATATTCCCAACCAGTGAATGGTTCATCCTCGGAGACCCAGGGGCAGTCAGTCGGGCCGGGAGAAAAGGGGCGACGAAAGTTCTCAAGCACGGGCGGAAGAGCCCCTGAGTACCGACTCTCACAGGACCATTTCCAAACGGTCAAGCGAATGCTGGCTCCTGATTGGGCACAAAAAATGCTTTGTATTATTGTGCCCAATCGGCAAACACCATCTCCTGAGTTCTTTATGCGAGTTCGCACATGACGGCAATTGACTCGATCACAGCTTGTCTGGCTCATGCACCGAAGAAATGCACGCAGTCAGGAAACTTTCAGTTTGATATAAACTATCCATTTCAAAATACTGTCTATCCGAAAACTAAAGACGCTTTTCCGAAAATACAAGCTTGAGCTTACAACAGGTATTCACGCTTGCATCGATCACGTCTTGGTAAATATTAGGAAGTTCAAGATACCACGACTACTGACAGCCACGAAAACGTCGCATGAAAAGTGAATTCACATTTTTTAAGTCTCTATCGTGATTATTCCAACTCGCTTACTTTGTTAAATAAAAGCGAACTCTTCTGGAGCTGAATTTCTAAAGAGAAAGAAAATAGGTGGTTTTCACGTTACGTCATCGCCGCCATGCTGGTGGATGGTAAACAAAAGATCGCTCGTTAGCCCGCTTTGTTTGTCCACCAGCATTTGTTCATTTCACCATTGTTATTTGTGTCTCCCGAGATTGCATGAAAACCATCTATTTTGTCACTCATTGCTTGTTTACGTCCTTCACAAAACGTAAAACTAGGCTTTTTCACGTGGTAGTCCTCCAGTGACGGCAAAGAAATGTACAACAAAGCGTGATGCACGTGCAAAGTTGTCGTTTTGCCTTGTCAGTCAAGCTATTGCTTTTTTTGACTTCTTGTCCGGCGCCGTCGCATCTTAAACTTCCTATTATTTTAATACGATACATTGTGATCCGTCAGAAAAATAATTTTCTCAGTGCAAATTAAATTGCTCCTGCTGATAGCATCCGAAACGTTTTTCGGCTCATCGGTAGTTCCTTTGTCTGGTTAGGAAAGCTTGGTGAACGAACCGGGCAACTGTGGCGAGATAATAGCGGTAGTGTACGAACTCACGAAAATAACTCAGGAGAAACTGTTCGCCGATTGGACGCAATAATACAAAGCATTTTTTGTGCCCAATCAGGAGCCAGCATTCCCTTGACCGTTTGGAAATGGTCCTGTGAGAGTCGGTACCCAGGGGCTCTTCCGCCCGTGCTTGAAAACTTTCGTCACGCCCATTCTCCAGGCCCAGCTGACTGCCCTTGAGTCTCCGAGGATGGTGAATGGTTAAGTAAAGCCAAAGTAGAATATATATTGGAATATATTGGAATATATTGAAATATATTGAAGACTCAAACGTCAAGATCACGTGTAAATAGCATTTAAGGCAGTCATTTAAACATTGTCAGAATTCCTGTAAATAACAAGTAAATCAAAGAAGAGAGAGACTTTGTTGACCATGTAAATACTAAGGAAATCGAAATCGGGCAACTAATTTTACCTTGTAATACAATTTTAAATTGAATAGGGGAGATTGGTTTGACCCTGGAGGAGAATGAGAAAATCTATTTGCCCCTGTATAAACCCTTTAAATTGAAATAGGGGACTAATTTGACTCTGACCATAAATTCCCTGTAAATTGAACAAAGGACACCGTGAAACCATGTAAATATCACCGCCGTGTACATCGATAATGTAAATGGATAAACAAAGCTAACTGATTTATGTAAACAGTATGTCGTCACTTGTTGCTTGTGAAAGTTGTGACGTAGTATATAGAGTATTCTCATGATTATAATTACGGACTTCAAAATCACTTGCTTTATAGAATAAATACTACTACTGTAGAGAATCAATATTGACATTGTAATCTTCATCCACCTTCTAGTCTACAGATAATAAACTGTAATGTAAGGAATATGCAAACAAGTCTATGAACTTGTTATTTTCTTTTCCTTGAGGATACAAACTGTTGTCAAAAGACATCTGGCATCCACAAGGGGGACGCAAGAGTCATGATGAACATCAATTGTCTCACTAGAAGGTTCATATAATAGGATATAACATTATGCCTTATTGTCTTCTACCATTTATCCGTGGAAAGAAATTTATCCGTTAGATAGCACTACCCGACGCTTGAACAACCGGGGTGAAATGGGTATGGGTTGTGGCGGACACCATTGTTACCTCTAAAATCTTGTCACTCTGCCCAGAAAGACTAAGCGATGTCTCCATTGTACTTCTCATAATTGTCCTACGTCAGTTCCTTTGATAAACCCCTTAATCCGGGTGTAGAAAGTGGGTCCAGTCCTTTTCCTCCGATCGCATGTGTGACTACATCGATGACGGGTGGTTTGGGATTGCAAAAACAACAACAAGTAGGTTGAGTATGATCGTCAGGGTGAACGAAGTCCTGAATAGGACTGTGGTTATTGACAGTGACTGACGTTTCGACAACCTGTGCGGTAGTTATCTTCAGAGTCAAAGTGAGTTGTATCACGTCAGCTGATGGTATTAAACTCTGGTTATTGACCAGATTGGTCAACTAAGTCGCGATGTTATTGTTCGTCTGTCAGTAATAATAATAATCATAATGATAATGATGATGATAATAATAATAATAACAATAATGATTTCATCATTTTACCACAACATATCCTCTCTCAACCAAGCACGCACATCAAGAATGCAGTTCTCCAGTGCAGTCATGGTTTTTTGAGTTCGCTCAAGCTATCAGATGGTCTGAATGACATATAAAACTGGGTGTCGTCGGCATAAGCATGCGCAGAAAGGAACGTAGGATCTCAAACAGCTTGCTAGCTTGCTTAAATAACAACGGGCCTAAGCATGAACTCTGTGGGACAACGCATTTTAAAACAAATGAAACCGGGAAAGCGCATTATCACGTAAGCCCAACATCGACTACAACCTTCGCAGCGGGATGCCTTGATCGACGTTATCGAAGGCGGCGCTCAGATCCAATGATATAAGAAGTGTCAGGTGACCCTTATTCATGTTCATGAGTAAATCGTTCTTCACCTTAATTAAAACAGTTTCAGTGCCATGATTTTGTCAGTAAGCACTTATTATCCACCATCTGACATTGGATCTGGGTAGCCACTGCCGTTTCCGTAAGTTTAGATATTAACTGTAGATTACGCACCGGACGAAAGTTCTTATTAATGATTTGGAGACCGTGTTTCTTGAGTAGAGGGTGTGCTAAAGCACACTTACGATGTTGTACGTTTAAACACTTATGAGTACGTCTTGGTACATTAGTTAACAGTAATTGTCGGGGTGAAGCATACTGTAATAACTAACTGTCATAAATTAACAAAAGATTGAGAAGAAATTAAAAATTTTGTACAGTTAAACACTTGTGGGTACGTCTTGAGTTTATTACATACACTGTACGTTAGTTACAAGTAATTGTCGAGGTGTGAAGGACACTGTGATGACTTAAAGCGATAAATTGACAAAAGATTGAAAAAAAATTACAAATTGAAAAATTGACATTGAAATTGAAATTAAAGATTGAAAAGAAATTAAAAATTTTGTGGGTACGTCTTGAGTTTGTTACATACACTGTACGATAATTAACAGTAATTGTAGGGGTGTGAAGGATGCTGTGATGACTAAATGTCATAAATTAACAAAAGATTGAAAAGACACTTAACATTTTGTACGTTTAAACACTTGTGGGTACGTCTTACGTTTATTACCTACAATGTACATTAGTTGATATCAATTCCGGCGGTTGAAAGGATACTGCAATCACCAAATGGCACAATACAAAAGATTGAAAAGACACTAAATATTTTGCACGTTTAAACACTTGTAAGTACGTCCTGAGTTTATTAGGTACATTGTACATTAGTTGATATCAATCGCAGGGGTTATGAAAGATACTGCAATCACTAAATGACACAGTACAAGAAATTGAAGACACTAACAGTAATGTAAATTAAAACACTTGAACATGTCTGAAGGTTATTAAGTACAGAACATTGCTTAACATTAATTGCCAGGGTGGGAAGGTTGGTCCAGTCACAAAATAACACAAAATAAAAGAAAGAAAAGACACTAACAATTATGAAAACAATAAAAACAAAGCAAAAAAGTTTTCTTTACGCTTAAAAAAAAGGGCAGGTGGAGGGTAGGAGACTTTTATTACATAAGGTCTTGGAAGTGAGGAAGTCATTCGTGCGCTTTGATGTTAAGGTAAGAATTCAACTGATGACTGTTTTTTTCACTGTTTCGTTTGTTTTAGGTTGTTTTTTCCTTTATCTTTTATCACTTTTTTCTGAATCTATCGGCGAACTTTTTTTTTTTCTTTACCTTTTAACGCTTTTTTCTGAATCGCCCTGCCACAAATTAAATGAGATCGATTAGAAGAGCTTGGCTTCAAATTTAAAGGGAGGTTCTTTCAACAGTAAAGATAGGAAATATCAGGGTTTTTTTTTCAAAATAAGTTAAAAAAAAAAAACTATTTTCCTTATGGCTTGGGTGAAACTGGAAGTAGCGCAGGGCATTGTGTCGCTCCAACCTAATTCTGATGCACGTTATTTTCAAAAAGTTCATTGATTTTACAGGGATTTTATGTTATCGCTTGTCCAGTTCAAACTCATATGAGAGAGGCTCATCATATGTGGCTCATCGTATTTTTGACCAAAAAGCGAAATAACCCTCGTGATTCTGCTCATATAGCTGAACTATAGGGGCAGGTCTAAAGATTTTTTGCGTCTGAAGATACTTCAGATAAAGAACAATAGGTATCAATTCTTTTAAAATGTCTTTCTAACGACGAACTATTTAAGAAAAAACTTTGAAAGGATTTTAAAGTGGTTGACAATAAGGAAAAAAAAGAGAAATTACTGTTCACGAAAGAAGTTTTCACCGGGAAAAGTTTCTAATAATATTAATAAAATTTTTAGTAATTATAATAATATTAATGATATGATATTATTTTTATCTGAACACTTTTTCATAACTTCAAAAATTTCGTGTCCTAGTTCAACTTTGAAAGGGAAAGTGTACACTCTAACACGAAAAATTATATTTTTTTCTATTTTCTTACAAAGAAACTCATTATCACAGAAACGTTTAATATTTGGCCTACTTTTTTTGCATCCGGAACCGGTGCCCGCCTTTGTATGTAACACAAAACAAGTGGCTACATCTTGAGTTATCACGTACTGCATATCACTTAAAATTAATTTTATGTACAGGAAGGGCCACTCACCAAATGACAAAGTATACAAACTGAGAGGACACTAAACTACAAGGGGGGAAACATCAGCAAAGTGATCCTTATGAAGAAAACAAAAAAAGAAAAGATAAAAAATGCCAAAGGAAAAGAAAAATAAATAAAGACTTTTGGTGTTTTATCAACTATTGCTTATTAAGTACGGATCAATACTACCTTTAACTTATGATTGGCATAACAAAAGCAGTTACTAGTAAAATGATATAAAAAGTAAGGGATCATCATAGGTTTCGGGGAAACTGCCGGCCTACCCCTCCCTTAAGATAACATTTTCCCCTAATTTAAATATACAATGATCCAAAGTAAGCAGGTGGATCCTGATCGACCAAGTGAGTGTAATCCTGAATATGACTGTTGTTGACAAGTACAGTGAGTGATGAGACTGACGTTAGTTGAAAGAGATCCAGACCCAATCTGATATTCGCTTCCTGCTCTCTAACACAAGTACAATTACTTCGATTCAATGTCTGTTGACTGGTTAAAGATTGGCAAATGAGTCCACTTTTTAAAATTTGCTTAGTTGCGCCATTTTTAAGCAGAGGTGCAGTAATACATAACCAAAAATGAACGCTAAGAAAAACGAACGACGTTTCGGAGCCATTACGTCGCCATTATCGCAACGACGTTACACACGGACAACAGGAACTAGGAACATTAACACTTTTTTTCAACACGAAGAAAGTCCTATGTGTACATCCTCAGCTCTGACACTCAAGCTACGACTTGACAACCGCGAGGTCCCTAAAACCAACTTACAGATGCGCAATACAATAGACCTAATTAAATTATTCTCTCATGACAGCCATTATCAAGTTCAAAATGATTTTTGCTTCTGAAAACGGCGAGTATTATTTCTGTCAGTTTACTTTGGCAGCACTTCACATACGCTAAACTGATCTTGCAGAAAAACTAGAAAGGTGGTGCAGTATTCTTATAATGGTTTCTGGGTCATAAGATTACAAAACAGACTTCTTGATGGAATGTACTACAGGAAATCAACGACGTAATAGACATCACATTATTTTTACAAATTTCACAATTAAATATTATAAACTGAATTCGAGACATTAGATATATCACAATCCATTTTTTTAAACAAGAATATGAATTAATTTACGGAGTGTTTTATATGTTAGTTTCGTCATGTTGTTAACCGAAAGCAGGGCATATGTTTTTTTTCGACGCCTCAACTGAATTTCCCGCAAAAGTCGTCTAAGCAACGAGCACAGAAATTCCATACTGATGACGTAACACTGTCCAGATCTAATATGGACTTCTGATTGGTCGTGCCGCAATGACGTCCGTATGGAATTTCTGCGCTCTCTCCATAAGGTGACGTTACACGGGACGATTCGCAACGACGATTTTTAACGCAACACAGCGTCACAACATTGGAACAATGTTAATACTATTCGAAACAATGTCACAGCAATGTTGCAACGCCTTGTTGCGCTGAAAATCGTCATTACGTCATTTCGAGGGCATACCATTGATGGAGACACGAAACGTTGGCTTTTTCACAGGCTAACTTATCCTAACATCAATACAGAGAGTTACAGTAACATTTCTTTTATCGTCTGTTCACCAGACACAATAACGTCACCTACACTTCACTGATCAAAGTAGACAATGGAAGGCGGACTTACCACATCTCAGATTACCAACTGCACTCTTTCCATCTTTGGAATCTTTGGCAACACGCTGACCATTCTAGTGTTTGCCCGTGACAAAAAGCTGTTGAAAAAGTCCCACAACGTTTTTATCCTTTGCCTTGCCATAGCAGATGTGCTAACCTCCATTCTCCTGCTCACAAGCCCGGTCATGGGGCTTGGTGACTTTATTCCTCGTCCAACCAATAGAGTTCTGGGTGAGATCTTCTGTCGAGTTTTCTGGAGCCGAGTGTTTATCTTTCAGCTCGTGTTTTTTTCCGTATACATCACATTGTTGTTAACAATAGAGCGGTGGGTTGCGGTCTTAAAGCCTTCTAAATATCACATGGCCTTCAAGGGAAAGCGAGTTGCTGGATACATCATGATCTGTTGGATCTGGTCGTTCATTCTCAATGGGACGGGATTACTTGATGCGAACTATGAACCAAATTCTTCCTCCAATGACATCTGCGTATTCAGATTCATTTCGTCAGGCTCTTTTTTCCGCACATCCAAATCTGTATTCATTATGTTCTTCAAGATGTTCTTTCCGTCTCTTTCTATGATTGGACTCTACGTACATATGATCGTGGCCACGAATAACTCCCCAGTTGCATCAGCCGCGAGCAAGGCCAAACTACGAGGAAAGATGACAAGAATGGTCGGTATTATGACCTTTATTTTACTCGTGTGTTTCTCTCCAAACCAATTTTTTTATACCTTTGTGGTTGCGGGGAAAGAACAGGTAGATTCTCTACTCCACCATTTAACAGCATTTCTCCTCTTCACCACCATCTGCGTTAATCCATTCATTTATGGAATCAGCAACTCTAATTATCGCCAGCGCTACAAGAAGCTTCTATTTTCCGTATGTTTCAAACGGTTCTCGGAGGACGCCAATGCTGCTCTGAGCCCTGTGAGAATTGAACCTGCCAGATCAGAACAACCTGCCATAAACGTAGAGAATATTACTGACAGTCAAACTTAACTGCTGGTTATTTAAAAGAATTTGTATATTCCAAGCCAGTGAATGGTTAAGGGACGCAAAAGTAGAATATATAACACACGTATGAAGACTAAGAGGTCAAGATCATATGTAAATAGCATTTAAGGCAATCAATGAAACATTACCAGAATAATGCAAGTAACAAGTGAATAACAGAAGAGAGAGACTTTCTTGACCGTGTAAATACTAAGCAAATCGAAATCGGGCAACTAATTTGACCCTGTAATAAAATTTTAAATTGAATAGGGGAGATTGTGAATATGTAAATGGATAAAGAAAGCTAACTGATTTATGTAAACAGTATGTCGTCACTTGTTGCTGGTGAAAGTTGTGACGTAGTATACAGAGTATTCTCGTTATTACAATTACAGACTTGAAAATCACTTGCCTTATCGAATAATACTAATACTGTAGAGAATCAATATTGGCATTGTAATCTTCATCACATTCTAGTCTACAGATAATAAACTTTAATGTACGGAATATGTGAATACGTCAATGAACTTGTTGTTTTCTTTTCCTTGAGGATACAAACTGATGTCAAAATACATCTGGCCACAAGGGGGGACATAGGAGTCTTGGTGAGAATCAATTGTCTCACTAGAAGGTTCATATAACAGGATATAACATTATGTGTTATTGTTTTCTAGTAGTTATCCGTCGGAAGCAATTTATCCGTTAGATAGCACTACCCAATGCTCGAACAACCAAGGCATGGGTGGTGGCGGACACCACTGTTTAATAACTACCTCTAAAATCTTGTCACCCTACCGAGAAAGATTAAGCGATGTCTCCCTGGTATTTCTCATAATTGTGACGTCAGTTGCTTTGATAAACAAATTATTCCGGGTGTAGAAAGTGGGTCCAGTTCTTTTCCTCCGACCGTATGTGTGACCTGGCTCCAGTTGTTCAAAACCTGGATAGCGCTATCCACCGGATAAATCTCTATCCACTGGATAGCGCAATTGGCTCCCCCAATATTTATCCACTGGCTAGTGATTTATCCGGTGGATAGCGCTATCCAGGTTTTGAACAACTGCGAGATCGATAACGGCGGCGAGATCGATAACGGGTGGTAACAGCGAACAGCGAACAGGCATCATCGTTAAAGATTCAGTGAATTCCACCTGCAAACTGATTGATATGACTGTTCCATCAGATAGAAACATTGCACTGAAGGAAATCGAAAAGAAAAGCAAGTACACAGACCTAGAACTAGAAATACAGAGAATGTGGCAAATGACAACCGTAGTGATCCCTGTGTGGTTTTAGGTGCGCTTGGTACAGTAAAGAAGGAGATGATAGAAAACGTCAAGAAAGTATCAGAGAGAGCTACTGTGACAGAGATTTAAAAGATCGATCTGCATGCTGGGATCTGCGCTAATCCTCAGAAAGGTGCTTAGTGTATGAACAGAATGATTGACTTGAGTGACTGATGCTCCAGGTGCACGATTTGCGCCCGGCTGATGCACAAAAAGAACACCAGCAAAGACTGCGATAGAAGAGATGATAATAATAATACTACTAATGATGATGATGATAATAATGATAATAATAATAATAATAATAATAATAATAATAATAATAATGATAATAATAAGAATAAGAATAAGAATAAGATTAAGAATAATAACAACAAAAATGATAATGATTTCATCATTTAACCACAACATATCCTTTCTCATCCAAGCACGCACATCAAGAATATAATATAATGTCTCAATTCAAATAAAACTGAAATTGATATTCAGTCCTTTCGCCTGAACGGTGCCTAGTTGGAAAATTAACCGCATCTCACGTTGCTTTCGTTAAATGATATTACCATTGCAAAACGCTACACAACGCACCTGGACATCAGAGATACTGTGGCCAGTGGAGTTGAAATGATGGGCCATAGGAAACCTGGGAGTGTTGTTGCGTATACTTCGCAGATGTTCGCTGAAACTACTCCTAAGGTTTCTTCCAGTCTCACCAATGTAAAGAAGTGGGCATCGGCATAGATGGTAAAGACAGATTTCGGGCCTCGTATCACAGCGACCCAACTTATGTGACAGCAGGTGTTGCATCGAGGACGCTGACACGCGCGAGAACCAGGCTGCTTAATAGAAATGTGATCCGTGGAATGGACCAACATGTTACGTAAACTGACGTCGCGCTTGTAAACCGTGTGGAAAGACACATCGAGTTTGTTCATCCATTGATAGAATGCGAAAGTTCTGTAGTAGGAACCGTTTGATCTTGGTGTTAAACGGGTGGTATGTGAGAACCAGAGGCACCCTATCAACGGTTATCACTCTGTTCGGACGGGCGCAGCGAGTCATGACGGCTAATGGTTGCTACTCTCTGTAGATCATTTTCAGATGAGGAAAGAGGATAACCACGGTAAGTAACGAAAGAAACCATCTCCTTTGATCGCACAAGGAAGTCAGCATTGCTAGAGCAAATGCAACGCAGGCGGAGAAACTGGCTGTAAGAGATAAAACATTTGCAGTTCTCAGGATGGAGAGAAGAAAAATGGAGGAAGTTGTGAGTGTCGTGTCATTGTAGTGGACAGAAATCTGAATTCTAGTAAGGTAAGGTAATGTCCAAAAAGGGGAGTTCTATTTCAGAGACAATGAAAGTGAATTGAAGTGCCGAGTGGAAGTTTGCAACGAAGTTAATAAAGGCTTCCAGTTCCTTTCTCCTGCACGAAGCAGTCTCTCTCCTACTCCTCCAGCTCATTCAAATCGGTGTGCAGTTGGAGACAGCTATCTTTCAAGCTGATTGCTAAGTACGAGACAGGATCCTTTGCGAACAAGTAAACGGTTGATTCAACATACTCAGAGAGGTCATTAAAGAACAAAAGGAAAAAAAGGAGGTCCAATAGCAGAGCCTTGGGGGACCCTTCATAAGACAGGCAGGCAGGAGGATTTTTCACCATCTACTACAACGCACTGTTGTTGATTGCTGAGGAGGCTATCAATCCATAAAAATGTGTTGCCAGGTATAGCCAGCATAGGTACTGTACTTCACCTACCCCAGTCGGAGACTCCCTTTTGTCAAGTGGAATTAGTCTCAACTGACTAAAAGGATCAATTAATTCCGTGCACAATAGCCTGATCACTTATGTAACAGTAGGGCAAACGTCTGTTCCAAGAATTTCTCCTTTTTGAGAGTACATTACTAGTTATAGCTATCTTCATACGCGCGCGCTGTCCAATTTGTTTAGAAATGTCATGAATTAGTGTAATTTACAAAAAAATAGTTTGAACTCAATTCGATTGCATAAGCGAAAATTACCTTGAAAATAGGTCTACTGCTCAAAGAATTTAAAATCCCAACTTTAAATAGCACAATTTTTTGAGATATTGAAATTCGCGTTTTTGTCAGAAGTTGCGCACAGGTCATTTTGCAAGCGAACTTAGAATCTTCGAAAAATTATAACTCCGCGAATATTCAACGTTCGCCAGATGATAAAACTCAACCTTTTGAAATGACTCCTGGTTTAAACCTTTCACAGTTGTACAGATTTATATCTGGTCTCTTGCTTGGGAAGTGTACTTTTCAGGTCTTGCTGTCTGGGGTCAGGCATCCAAGACGTTCCTTAATGAAATTGTAATTCTCCAAACGAAAGTGCTTCGCATGATACATTATATGGATATACGTGAACACACAATTCCTCTATTCATCGACGGTGATATATTACCAGTGACGTCTATGTGTTATAAGTCTGTAGCTAGTCTAATACACGATATTAACAACAACAATTCGCCACCAAATCTCCTAAATTTATTTGAAAAAACCTCAACAATTCATTCATACAATACACGATCATCTACTTCTGGTACCTTTCACGTTAAAAGTTCAAAGCTAGAAATACACAAAAGTCCTTCTCTCGTTTTGGAGTAAAACTTTGGAAAGATAAAATGACTATATTGAGACACCATTGATAAATTAAAAAGTTGGATAAACAGTTAAGTAATCTCATATTGTATAAAATTATATGCTTTCAAACTCTCCGTCAATTTCTTTTTCGTTTTCCTCAGTTGTAATAATAATAATAATAATAATAATTTTAATAATAATAATAATAATAATAAAACTATGATAGAAATAAGAATTACTGTAACGTAAAACATTTTTCTTGCCTTCATGTATTTTTTTTCTTTTAACTGGGCCGCCTAGATTAGCAATTGCTATTTTACGGGCCAGTCTATTGTAAAAACCATTTTTAATAAATAGAGTTGAAGTTGAAGTGACATGATGAATTGATATAAATTAATATAGGAATTTCTTGTGTCCTAGTTTATCTACCAAAGGGGAAACAAGTGCAAAGATATCTATCAGTCTCGTGCAAATAAACTCACACACTTGAGTACGTCTTCCGTTAAACAAGTGCTGTACATTGTTTAACGTAAAATTGCAGTGGAGGATGGTGCCTGTCGGAAAGACAAAACACAAAAGATTGAAAAGGCACTACAAAAATAACTAAGAACAGCTTCAAAGTGATCCTTACGAAAAGAGATCACAAAAACAGAAAAGGTAAAAATATTTACATAAAAGCATCCTTTGATCCCTGCTTTATTGTAAGAGGAAATTGATCTTATCGATATGGAATTAAGTAAATTTTTTATAATGCTTAAAGTTCTTTTCACGATGAGTGCTTTGGTTTTGTAGATCTGTTTTTCTCTTTTTAAATGAAAACAATTGGGTCAACGATGGAGATCAAGAACATCACATACATTATACGACGATCCATGAATACGAACTAACTTAAAGCATTATCTTGGATTCAAATCAATTTTTATAACCATATGCTTGATTCAATGCTCCCAACCTCTTTATGTATCATGGGAGAATTAACTTCGTGATTATATCGTTGATTACAATTATATCTTTGAGAAAAAAACATTATTTTCTGGTCTAAAAACGTTTCCCAAAAGGCACCACCCTCCAAAGTTATCAGAATTAAGACCGAAACCCAACCTGATTTCGCTTGCCACCCTCTAAGCACACTTACTTCGATTTAATGTCGGTTGGCTGACTAAACATCAGCAACTGAGCTAACATATTACGATAAGATAAGATTAGATTTATATCGATCACACTTTTTGGCCCCTGAAGACGAAGAATATTTTTTAGATTTGGTTCAGCAGCGCTGTACAGAGAATTAATTGACCTTGCACATACACAAAAATAATGACATAGTGTAGGATGTCAGTTATTGACATCTGGACAAAATACATTATATTATATTTTCACGATTTTTCGAAATTATAAATAGAAGAGAGGAGAGGTATTTGATAATTACACAATTCATCTTTTTAGCATTTACAATATGAATTATTTTACCTGTTACTTTAAAAGTTGGTTTCGTCATGGTGTGAGACTAACAACATCGAAACAACTAATCAGTGACATACTGACTTCGCCTAAAATCACCACGAGGACTCAAAGAGTAAGATTTCTTATATGAACAGTTCGCTTCGAGTTCGCTGCATGATACAGTGACGTCGACCACCTTCCACTGATCAAAGGATGCAATGGAAGGCGGACTAACCAAATCCCAGATTACCAACTGCATTCTTTCCATCTTTGGAATCCTTGGAAACACGTTGATCATTCAAGTGTTTGTCCGTGACAAAAACCTGCTAAAAAAGTCCTACAACGTTTTCATTCTTTGCCTTGCCGTATCTGATGTGCTGACTCACAAGCCCAGGATTTGGACTTGGTGACCTTATTCGTCGTCCAAGTAATGAAGTTGTAGGTACGATCCTCTGTCCTGTATTCTGGAGTCGAGTTTTTCTCTTTCAGCTCCTATTTTTCACCGTTTACATCACATTGCTGTTAACAATAGAGCGGTGGGTTGCTGTTGTAAAGCCTTCTAAATATGGCATCGCCTTCAAGGGAAAGAGACTCACTGGGTACCTCATTTTCTGCTGGATCTGGTCATTCTTTCTGACTGGAGAAGGCATACTTGATTCGGTCTATGAACCAAATTCATCCTCCAATGACATATGTACAGTCAAATTCATTTTCTCAGGCTCTATCCTCTGCACGTCCC